TGCAGGGAAAAACAGTAAAAATGTTGAAAAACGCCCTATCTCACAATGTTAAAGAGGACAAAAAAACCCCAAGAGGTTTAAATGTATTCTTTTTGCACAGTTTTCATTCATACTGGGGCCACTGTGGAAAAAAAAGTGAGTTCTGACTTTGATCTCAGAATTCTGAATTCTGAGGTCTGACATTTTTGGTCTGCAGACCGCGCGTAGCTCTCCCGTCCTCTCTTCCCCTCCACTCTAGTGCGCCCCTGAAGTTGGTTCTCTGAATTCTGAGATTAAAGTCAGAATTCTGAGAAAAAAGTCAGAATCATGAGAAAAAAGTCAGAATTCTGAGATCAGAATTCTGAAAAAAAAGTCAGAACTCACTTTTTTTTCCCACAGTGGCCCTAATCCTCTTCCGTACGTTCAAGCCTTACAAACCTTAATAGTAGAATTAATGTTAAGAAGAGTTGATGTCACAAAATGTTTATAGACAAGTCCTACAAGAATTTTTTTGCCAATTAAATGAACCATTTAATAAATGTTTACAAAATGCTGTTAGAATAATAGTAGTAACTTTGTGAATTGTATTTCCTTTGATTTTTTTAATTAAATCCCAAATTTTCTATAAATGAATTATGGATCTGAATTAAAAGGTTTAAAATGTTCACAGGAGCAGGAGTACACACCTACATTGCTGTTAGGTCTATTCAACACTAGGTGGTAGCAGTCTTAAGTCTGGGAGGCAGACTCAGGTTTCATTTATGAGCTTTGGAGTTAAAACTGTAATTCTCATTCCACATTCTACAAGATTTTCTGAAGGGACATGTCACTCATGTTCTGGACTGACTTTGAAAGCATCTTCAAATGAGCAGGAACTGAAATAGATCTAAACAACACCAAAATATTTTCACTTGTACAGAAATTGTTTGTTGAAGCAAATAATAGTTATTTTTTTGGATCCTCCACCCAGATCCTCCACTATATAGGCACAGCAAACGGAAGAAAACACCATCTCACACTCACATGGTTTGTCCCTGTAACATAAAAAGTGAAAAGCATCCTTGAGTGGACTAAAAGATGTGCCAAGCTCTGTAGTTGAAGCCCTCCCTGGCTTGTCCTCTGGGTTTTGTGGTGGGCTTCGGAATAAAGTGTTGTGCTGATCTGGTGCTCTCTGGAGCACGAGGCCAAGTCTCTGAGGAGCGGCCTCCCATCTGTTAGACTAACATGAGTAACATTACCACCACACCTCTTTTCTGAAGCCGGCTTTCCCCCTCTACATGCATTCTATAACTTTGTACATAAACTGGATGAAGTAAGTAACAGATAAAAAGAAGATGCACATTGAAAAGTTAACCTTTCTTACTCTGAAAAGCTCACGTCTGATGACCTGAAGTTATGTCATGACTTCATGCTATAAATCTGCCATTGATTACACGCTCAATAACATTCTTTCACCCCATGTGTTTTGTAAACATAGTTACGTCAGTGTGTTTACACACAGTCAATGGTCTGTGTCGACCCACTGTAGAACTTGATTTCTGTTTGTTGTGGTACGCACACACTTTATCATAAAACATTATGACCAAAACAAACCATTGAACCTACTTAACATGCATATCAATACGGCATACACTACAATTTGCATAGTGTGTGGAAGTGGAAGTGATTTGAGACTGTTAACAGCAACATATAAATGTCAACTAAAAATCTGGGCATATATATTGCTACCTAGCATATATATATATATATATCCTAGGGCATATATAACTTGACTTGAATAAAATAAACTGTTAGATGTAAAGAAGACTATAGGGACTTACAGTTTGAGATTGTTATTAAATTAATACCGCAATAACACGTTTTGTCACAATTTAATTGGTCATTGTGTGGATTTTAAATTTAAGATTTACACTTATGTATGCCACAGGCGTGGATCCAATCAGTGACGAACCTTGTTGATTGCAGGTATCTAACTTTTCCAGCAGAAGTTATGTCATTGTGTTTTCATCTTTGAGGATGTGGATTCTGTTTTGTAGTATTTCCTCTTTTCACACAAACTCAGCACAGATTATTTATCAGCTTTGTCTAACTAACCAACACTTAACCAAATCATGATCCTAAAACTGAGGCTACATCCATATTACTTCTTGATTGTATCAACTGACACACAGACAGTGAAGCCGAGATGACAGAAGATGAACAGTGGCAACAAAAAGTGTGAATACAGGATTTCAGCAACGGACTGCGAACACCAAACCATTAGCGCGGCTGCTTCAGGATCAGAGCAGAAGCATTGGTTGGTTTGTACTGTGTCAGAGCTCCTGTTTGAATGTCCTCCCTCCACACTCCCGCTGACCTGCGCTCACTTTAAACTTAAACGATAAACACCTGCATGATTATGCTATAGTATTATCATCGTACCAGTGGTTTAATATAGATTCAAATGACAATATTATCACCCACCACAATTATTTTGTTATTATGACAGATCTAGCTAAAACCCTTTTTAATAATGCACCAAGTTAGAGGTTTTCTATCACAGTTTACAGCTTTGGTTCTCTGAGAATGTTTATCATATCCAGGCAAAATTGATATTGCACAATTTAAAATACCCTTAACTGAATCATTATTGGCTCGAATCGGAAATCGAATCGATTTGGGAAATCCATGATCAATACACTGCCCTCAAGAAATTACCTTTATATGGGAACAGTCAAGAAAAGCTATAATAGGTGTATTATTGTGGTGCTAAAAGGCACAGGGAAACATTTTGGGTGCACCTAAATTATGTGCTTATCTGGTGCAACCAATTTGTTAGTCTGGAGCCTTGAACCTAAACACAAGCTTTGACCATGAGCCCCACAGCTGAAGAGAGAACTTCAGTTGTTTTTATAATGTTTTCTTTCTATCCTTGGCACACACAGTCACCCACACACACACACATGCTTTCCTCCCACATCACCCATTTACAGCACGTCCGCTCACAGCTCTTTTTAACTGCACTGTCATGAAATGTTAGCTGCCTACTCAGCACTCATTCTCATCATAATCAATTCAGATCTACTGCTGAGTAGTAATTGAGTATGTGTGTTTTTTCCTCTCATTGAGTCAGGAGGTTTATCTGCCCACAGAGGGGCATCATCTACAATCATCTACAAAGGAAAATGTATTACTTTAGTAGCCCTTAGTTAACAAGGTTTGGAAAATCCGGATTACCTGTAGTGTAGTGTTTTTTTTTTTATATTGGGATCAATATATTCGGGATTGAGTCGGTATTCTGAGCATTTTCTAAAACTGTTAAGAGGAAAAAGCTTCCTCATCCTTTCTCTCTTGTTTGTTTTTTCTTTTGAGTTGTGCTAAGTTATTTCTTTTCAACACAGCTGTTTTTCGTGACATACATAAGCTGCAGGACAGACTAACACATTGAGGCCCCTGAACAAGATTTTAATTAAAGGACGAATCGCTTAAAACATTTATAATAATAACTCTAAACACAGCTGAAGACCCACGGAGGTCAAGTACATGAAACCTCCAACTATTCAGTTAGAATTGAAGAAGCCCTGTGGATGAGAGGGGAAATGTCTTCAACAAACACAAGCAAGTCCAGTTGCCCATGTACACATGCACAACTCCTGAAGATAAACTTTACAAAGTATAAGGAATCTGCACCTGAAAAACTGAACCGTCCTGATTATACCTGTTTCATATCCTCGACTGTTAATGATCCTCCTCAGTTCTCTCAATGAAGTCAATGAAGAAGGTGGAGCTCTCAGGATACTACTGCTAAATCAAACTGGGACACACTATCTGTTAACTTTTTTTATTTCAATAATGTAAACAAGTGTTTCCTGTGTTTCCTTTTTTTGGCCCTGTTGCTCCAATTTTCCGTAAATGACATAAAACAATGAAAATCATTTAAAAACTGAATACACTTTACAGTGTTTACGTTCTCTGTTTGAAGCTGTTAATTAACTTCATACACTCTTGCTCAAACGTCTGTCACTGGTAATAAAACAGCAATTAACCACTTCCCCTCTCTGACAGTCTTAAACAGACAGAGCTGCTATATTAGCATATTTGTGTTGATGCTTGATGTTTTCCAACAATATGAGTTGACACACACGTATTACATTCTTTTTCCCCTCATATCTTGGAATAAACTTGATGTATTTGCTCATCTCAGTCTTTGCATTGATCATTCCACTGTAGTCACACCAGCTCTTAATGGCCTCAAAGCCATGAATATTAGATACACTTCCCTTCACCCCACAGTGCAAATGTGATGAACCAGCCTGATGTGGCTGTGAGGATACAAACACAATCCTGCACGAGTATCTGTCTGAGTTTCAGATATACAAAGTACTCGACTAGTAGACTGCAATAATGTGTGAAAAAGTCCTGCAAGCACATGCAGAAACACATGTCTTTCAAAAAAACTTTTCAGCACAATGACAGGAGAGGAAATGGTGATATTTTGTATAATATTATGTGGCAGTGTTTCTCTCAGTTGCTGTTTGTTAATCAGGATTTTATATTTTAGTGGAAGCATGTTTTTCAGTCATGTAATGAATGCGGATATTCTCCTGAGTGAGATTAGCCTCAATATGAGCATAGTAACACAGTTGATGGGTTACAACCCATTATGTCTGGAAGAGAGTCAAAGAAAGAGAGAGAGAGAGGTGAGGGAGGGAAAGGAGGGCGTGACGGAGACACAAGCAAAGAGCAGACGGAGACATCCTCTCAGTTTTAAGTTCAGATCTTTAGCTCCCTCTCCTCTTATTTTCTTCGTGGTGCTGATAGTCACTGGACCAACACGTCTATCTTGTTGTATTTCCTGTGTTTTCACAGCTGTATTGGAGGATGCTTTGACTGCATCGGCACAAGTTTTTCTTCAGAGACATGTGTGAGCAGGTTGGAGTTTCCCTCCACACTGCTGAGACATTTACGTGTTTGTGCCCACATCTGGAGGACGATAGTATCTGAAGGAGCTGTGTGGGTGTCTCTGGCACAGTGGAGGAGACATGGCAGGGGACCTTGTGGTTGGGATGCTCTATAACTTATTACTGCCAATGCTCCTGCTGACTGGTGAGTTGTAGTGTGATTATTTTATTGATGATTTGCTGACAGGAATGATATTTCTGATGCCTCACCAGAGATCAGCTAGAGAGAAGGAATTATATTAAGCTTAGTTTAAATATACAAACGGTATTTCTGCAGCTGATTTAGATCTTATTGTGCCTGAGGTGAGATCAGATCTGAGTACGACTAATCATTAAGTTTACTACACACAAAATCTTATCAAAACTATTTATCTGCACTTTCTGTGTATAGAACAGTTTTACAAACTGCTTACGTTCTCAGGATCATGTACAAACATAATAAACATTTGTTCATAAGCTTTTTTACTTGTTGCCTAGTTGACCTATCTCTCTTCCATTTCATATATTTGAAAATGCCCGACATTAAATATTACTTTCCCACAAATTGTAATGAATTATATTATGATAAAGATAAAATAATGTAGGTATATTTACTCCAGTTATTGAAGGTGACATATCAAAGAGTTATTGGAGTACATGCGTGCTTACTGTTGCACACAGTTCTCCTTTTGCTGAACACCAATTCAGTTTTAAAGACTGATAGCTTTCTATTGGATTAATTGAGTTGGGTCTTAACTGTTGTTATTGAGAAGGAGTGTGTTCCTACAGAGATACAGTAGATCATGCTGACTGCAGACGATTAAACTCAACATCATTTCTGTATTTATGATCATTGTATAGTGAAACAATCTGTCAAACTGTTGATTAAGACACTGTGTGTAGTTTGCGTTTTTGTCCATACAAAGTGAATTTGCTCACTAAATGTACATTTATTGAAGAAGAAATCGATATTTGATATTCTAGAAACCATAATTTGATTTGCTGCACAACAAAAAAAAAAGGTATAAATTTACACAAACTTAATTTAAATTCTAATTAAGTTGTGTTTTCTCTGGGTTCATGGTCACATAGTTTGGGTTAATTGGAGAGGCTAAATTGTTCGTAGGTGTGAATCTACTGCGAATGGTTGTTTGTTTGCGTGTCGGCCCCTTTGGTAGAAGGGCTTGTACAGGGTGTACCCTGCCTCTCCCCCAAAATATTTCAATAAATTGGCCGAATAATGGAGAAAATATTAAAAACTTAGGAATGAGGACATGAGGACATCAATAACTCCTGATGACTGGTATTTATACACAACCTCAGAGATTAATGTAGCTATCACAAGGTATTTCAACTCAAGAAAACTTAGGCATAGGTCTCTATTTTTCTTGTTTTTCTGTTTTAATGTTAAGTCTCTGCACTTGGTGGTTTCTTTATAGTGCGATGAAATACTTATAAGTACTTATTTTCTCTTGTACATTTTTGTTTGTGTATTTTCGGCTGTTACAGTTGATTCAAATATTTCCATCAAACAGATGAAATATATGTCTTCTTTCTTCTGCACCTCAGCCTCTTCTTTCCGCTACAATGGTCTGTCAGTGGTGTATTTCCTGTTCCTGCTCGTCTTACCGCTGATGCCAAATCCCAGCCTGGTCACCATGAAAGGTGAGAGTGGCTCGAAAGACTAAATATATATAATTTGTTTAATTTAAACATTTTGATTTGACCCAGTTTCCAAAATGTATAGTTTTTCATATTATAGAATTACAAATTACAACACCCGAAGTTTCACTCCTACACAAAAATGCTGGGGTTGAAATTCATGTTCTTCCCTCAGTTTCTGTCACAGTAATTTTCCTCATTATTACCAGTAGTATCTAGCAAACGTTTTAAGGCTGTCAAGTATTAACTATTATGTGCACAAAACATTTCTATCAACAGTCCATGTTAAATCAAAGTCATATATATTTTTTACAGAAGTGTGTTTTTCTGA